GTCTGTGAGCTTCCGTCCCCCGTCCCGTCTACTCACCCCTCCGCGCTGCGCTTCTGCGGTCAGCCGCGCAATCGTCCCCATTCCAGCAGCTGACCGCAATACCCAGCTTATATTTCCACTGGATTTAAAATTATGAATTTAGTGGTCCATGAGGTCCGAAAGGTTGGCGACCGCTGGTCTAAAGGAGTCCCTAGACAGCAGATAAAAATGACAGGGGTTGTAGCCCTTCTCCACTCTATACAGAACACACACAAAAATAGTCTTGTCAACGGTTAAACTTTATTGCTGCTTGTCACATTTTCTGTAGCTGACGATGGGTATGTATACCAATACTGTGTATCCTTATCTATGCAGCACAGTACTTTGTTATCAATAAAAGATAGCTCACAAACTGACAGCTGCCAGACCACACCAGCTGCCGTGATCACGTGAGCTGGCGCATCCTGTCACCGCTCAGAAACCTGACAGCTGCTATACTACGCCAGCTGCCTGATCACGTGAGCCGGCGAGTCATGTGACTGGTTAGCAACGTGACAACTGCTAAGCCACGCTGCTTGATCACGTGCGCTAGCGGGTCATATGACCAGTCAGGTGACAGCTCTGTAGAATCTAGAGACCGACCGGTCCCGGGCCGTGACAGAGGGAGTTGTGTGCATATGATATGTTAAACCACGTGTGACTCAAAGCAGAAGGCTGGAGTTTCCCATGAACTCAGGCCCCTCCCCGAGGGGTGATTCTGCTATGACTCCAAGTCAGACCTGCACCCTCACCCCAAGACCCAGGGGCAGTCTTCGCAGGTGAGATGGGATGGTGCGGGGGACAGAAACACCTGAATACAATGGTGGATGCAGGGGGGAAAAAATCATTAATTCATCATTCTGAAATGATTTTATCTTTATATTTTGCAGATGCTGCGCTTTCTAAATAGTTACCAAATCAATAAAATGTCCCTCCTCAAAGGATCTAATGTTTCTCTCCAGAGGATGAGATCAAACAGAGGGTTTATTTGTCCTTAATCCGCAGTCTCCGATGTCACCTTGTCAGCACCCTTCTCACTGACATTATGTATAGAGCAGAGTTTATATGTTATGTCATGATATTAAAACAGCCTTTGCAGGGAAGAGGAACGGACTGCCGGCTACCATACTGCTGCATCATTTAGTCATAGATCCATTCACAGGATGTGTGACTGGAAAAACTAAAAGTCCTACTTGCAGAGGGACATGTAGTTATCAATGGATCGCCCCCCCTCAGTCCTGCGCCCGGGGCAAGTGACCCCCCCGCACCCACGGTTGTTACGCCACTGAATGGAGTACAAATGTGGTGACATCACTGAGCTTGTAGTTCATTGATCACTGTCCCCATCTCCATAGCTGAAGGTTGGGATCTCAGTATGGGCCTGGAGGAATAGTCTATAGGAGCCTGAGCATTGCACATCCATTGACTGCAGTTACAATGCTTTTTTACATTTTTCTATTTGCAGTATGAATACATTTATTGTTTGCAAAAAGTGTAATATGTTGGGAAGTATTACTCTGTGTTATTTTATTCTCTAGACAAAACCAGCATTAGATCCTTCAGCTTGGGGGGACAACTGTCATTATTCTGGTGCTGCCAGTTCTAAAGAGACCCTGTCACCACATTTTATCCTGACAGATAAATACATGCAGGTTGTCTGTATTCCATGTACTTACAGCAGCGCTCTAATCCTGACCCCTGCGTCATCACTGTGTTTCTGCAGCTAAGATCTGTACTAGTTTATCATACAATGGCATTCTCTGCTGACTTTGAGAGAAATAATAAATATATATATATA